ATTTGAGTTCACCAAGAAACAAATCCAAGAACACACAGTTATGAAAGAGATCCCTATATCATTGGTTGTAGAGAACCTGCAAAGATTCTCTATATCATTGATTAGAGAGAACCTCTCCAACTCACCAGTCACATGCTCTTATTCCGTGCTTTCGAAGGAGACAAGCGATGAGAAATGCGTACATTTCATCTGCGTTACATTGAGACATCACTTGATTTAAGAGGGAGCGGTTTCGTCAAAATATATGCGACGCTTATTAAAAGCTTTTAATCGGATACTCAGCATACACGACCATCATTGTTTCCATCCTTCCACGGACCACGACAAGCCTCCTTTCAGCGTATTTAGCTATCCGTTATCACAATACAATCTCATTGACATCCTATAAACTTAGTGATGGATTCAATCAAAAGTAGCACATAGAAGCATTCCGTCTTGACTTTTATACTTTCGAGACCACAAGACTCGCTCCGAATAGGGTGCCCGAAAAACTGACACGTGCGATATTCTTTGTGAAGTACTGCTGCAGATACAACCTCGAAGAACTATACCCTTTCTCTCGAGCAACAGCTACATCTTCCGTATAAACAACTAACCTCAAATTCTCCGTATTGAATCCCAAAAGAAAGCGGAGTTATAATTTATTGTGCATGATGCAGGAGAAGCTTCAGTTGGATCGTAGCAAACCTTGTAAATAACAAGACTATATATGATTCCCCACAAGTCTCCGAGGAGTTGACACAGTTTCAGACATCAAGCTTCACCTGCACTCGGCAAGGGAGATTCATGTTTGTTTTTGTTCTCGATCATACAGTTTCAATCCTTGAGTTCGCACACCATACTGAGACATCCTCAGGAGGCCCCTTGCGGCTTGCCACTTCAAGAACATCGGTTAGTAGTTAGTAGTTAACCTGTTTGACAAAGGGTTAAGGAAGAAGGTTTAAAGAGATTGATTAATGTACTTAGCCCATTCGATAATCTGAAGGACTAAATTATTAACCTGTTAAATAAGTTTTATTTTAGAAAATTTTTGTTTGTCTTGCATCCTATAAGAAAGGTGTTTCGTGAAGTTTCTAAAATCTAGATTCCAGCTGATACAAGCAAGTTAAACCGGAGCCTTCAGTATATCACATGCACTAATAAATTCGATAAGGTTCTTATGGTTAGTTCTGCTAGAAAGCTCTTGCTAGTTTTCTATATTTCACCACAAGTGTTTCTTATTACAGCTGGAGGAATTAGTAAAGGCCTTAAAACCAAACAGAAATAAACGCTCCATTGAACAAAACCACTCTCGTACAACATACATCTGAGACTTCCTCTACAACAGCATATACTAATTGCTGCTGCTTCTCACTAAACAGATAAATGCGTCCAAGCAAATGGACAGTGTTCCCCCTTCCATCATCAGGACCCCACAGTTAAGAAACGAACAGGCATCGTGCTATTGGTTCCACAAAGGATCGACAAGCTAATTCAATCCTCTCAAGATCAGCTTACCACTCTGATACCTTCATTCTTGCAGAGGAAAAAGGCAGGATTCTTAATGTAGACAAGAATTCAAACAATCTGAAACTCCACTTGGTCACAGATCAAGATACTTCAAACAATACTTCTATTTTTCTGTATGTGAACATCTGTTAATAAGTACATGCACATTGTAAGTAAAGCTATGAGTGGAAATGAAAACAAACATATGCTCCTACAGAACTATATAATAAAGTCAGGTTGAGACGAGACCTGTATTCCATGGCTCCAGCCAACAGATTCTCTCCCTAGTCCAAAGAAAAAGCTCCTTCGCAGTACCTGTAAGAGATTGTCCGAAGGGTCAGGAGTAAGAACACATACATGTGATTTTAATTGAACAGATAGTTCATACAAAACGTGCAGGTTCTCAGATGAAGATATGTGCTGCCCTTTAATGTTACCATGACAATTTTAAACCGATAGAATTACTTCAGTATCCGTATCAACTGCAAAGCCTTGTTGATTAATAACTGGGCTATATATATCCTAAACGGCATTCAGAAAGTAGGCTAAAGTGCCAGACATCATGAATATCTTTTGAGGAAGAATATATAGGCTGACAAAAGAATTGTAATCAGATGTTTATATGGGATCTATAAAGGTAAATAACAGCTAGTTCATTAATGGTTTATCATAACACTAGCTGCATACTAAGAAGCTGTAAGATCAAGTAGGTTTTGTATAGTTACTACTGATCCATTCACAAGTTATGAGGTGTTAGGGGAGCACGACAATGTATAAGCAGAGCATTCGTGAGTGCCCACAGAGACTCAATATATTTACATATACATATACATGTATATATATAACTAATTGGCTTCCAAGTAAAATGATTTTCATAGAATGCACGAATCCTGAAAGTCAATTACAGATATACAAATATTAAGGATTGAAAATCTGTCCTTCAATGATACCCAAACAATGTAGCAGCAAACTATCTGGCTGAGAAAAAAGCTAGCATGGCACAAAGCTGAAAATGTTCAGTAGCATCATAATGTTGCTATGACCATGATCAATATTAGATGATGTCTAAATAGTACTAAAAAACTAGAGCAGAGATGTGATCCTATCTCGAGCATTATGATATTTAGGGTAAATTAGAGATAACC